TTTACAATTATGCTAATATCCTCTCTAGTATTGGTTAATACATTGCATGCAAGTAATGTGATGTTTTAATGTAATAATAAGTTCATTTGTATGAGAGGATTACCTAATATGCTCAATATATATAGGGCAGTTGTATGTTTAAAGCGGCACATTATTCGCTCAGCGAGCGTTCTAATTTTGTGTATAAACAACATTTTGTGTACATCTGTTACGTCGCATGGGACCCATATTCAACAGAACGCGATGCAGCGGCCGTTGCGCTTTCATAAAACTTAATATATATCATTCCAACTGCTCCTTTGCGTTAATCGTTTTGCTGTACACATTATGTTAGTGTCAAATAATATTATATCTTTTGTGGCCAAACAAAGTACATTACATGTTGTTTATCTGCTTGCGTCATCGTTAATGATTAATTATTCATGCCACGTGGATGAATATTTCACAAACTTAGATCAGTATCCAAGAGGTTCGAGGAAGTTTTGATAACACATATCACTTTTACGCCCATGTATCAAAAGTGAGGATACTCCTGGAGTAATAGAGTAGACAGATATGACAGCAATATCTAAATTATTCCCCTTTGTTCAATTACGCTGATATGACTTGTAATGTAACATTTTATGTAACATATATATTACAGTTATGCGGTAAGAACAAAATACTGTTCCAGGAAAGATATTATATTTTTCTTACGGCGAAATCATTACGGGGTTTCGATTTCCTTTTACTGTATAATTTTTGTGGAATCAATAATCCTGCTGAATGGATTACACCATGTATGTAAGATACTTACATTTATATATTTTCGTAATAATCGAGATTATTTAGTGAATATTTTAATATTACAAACAGGGAAAACGTTATTCGAGTGTGTATGTGAAGCGAGACAAGATGAAAACTACAAAATAATTGTCTTTGATGTTCACGACAAGTCTTTCAGAGCACAGATCGTGAGTTTATTTTCAAAAGTACACATAAGTCGAGTTTTTTGCGTAAGAATCTTATAAGTTCAATTTACGACAATACCATGACGACATCCCTAACATTTTAAGATTAAGCAATTGGCTGCATTGCTACCTGCGCAGCGCTGAGCGTCCATTGTCCATTGTATGCTTTGTCATTCGCGATAGCACAGTCATTATGGGCTCTTATTGGATTGGCGTGGTTTCTTTTAGGCCAAAGACTGCATGTTGATAAACAATCTGCATTACAGGCATTGGAAGTTTGTCCTATAAAACAACATAGCACCTTTTCAATGCAATACCTATTTACTTTTAATTAATGGTCCATAATATTAATTATAATTAAAATGATTTACTTGCGGATAAAATGTTTAAGCATAATCAAAATTCGGCGTGTTATTTGTGGCCATACGTTGTTAATATGCAAATTGCTGGATTTGAATTAATTCTAGTGATGTTAAATTATATTTATCCTTGGTTCCAAAATTTATGGGCATATGCTATCTAGGTAACAAAAATCAAAATATTTGGTTTCAAACTGGCGATTTGATCCATTGATTTGTCGATCTATCCTACATGGGGAAACAACACACAGTCCGATGTGATGATACAATGACAACGTTCGCTCACATCATTCTCCTTGGCTTGTGAATCTTCAATGTAACCAAACTCACTGCAAAGTTTATAGAGGCATTGTGCTAGGCTGCGATTAGTGAAAACGAGTACAAAAAGATTAGTCTGTATCTCTATACACGACCCAGCAAATCATTGGTCTGAATAATACGGGCTATCATACATCATGTAGCAATAGTTGGCATCTGGCAACCTGATTTGTAC